AATGTAAATTCACTTAGGGGGGAAAATTGCACAGTGCGACATGGGAAAATCCATTGTGATTTACTTTGTATATCGGACACCATCTGCACTCAAGGAAACGACAATATTAGTATTATATAATGTGTGCACGCAAATATGGACTTATTTCTCACATTAAATTAATTATGTAAGTAATTATCCACCACCATGATTTAAAAAATATAATAAAAATTTCTTCCTTATTATTTTCCTAATATTTCGTCGAATATTATAAATAGACTATCATCAATGTTTCTCGGAGAACACTAACGGTTAATTATGGTTTCCGTTATATTTTTTACAGTGAGTTCATCATTGTACACATCAATTCGTCATGTTTTTTTTTTAAATTTCTAGGATTTTGTAGATTTCGGACTAACTCTAATATTAGGACGTAAAACAACTTAGTCTGATCCGTGACCATGAACGCTGTAAGTGTTCGAAATGTTGGGAATATAAAATCAAAATAAAATGCGATAAAACCATTTAACCGACCTCTAAAATAGTACCCCCTAAAATTGTAGCTCAGCTAACCAGTGTTGGGATCGGAACAATTTTAGTTTCTGTATCTTGATTTTTACTGGGTCCCGCGTCCATTTCACGGTCTTATGACGCTGCACAGACTTACACTGTTTCTTTGTTATGTTTTCATTTACTCTAATTTGTGCAAAAGTAGTAAAGTAGTTAGTTTGTTACGTACCTATTGTGGTTAGACCGTGAATAAAAGTGTTTCTTTCTTTCTTTATCTCTTTCTTCCAAATTCAAAATATTATAATGCGTCCACATCAAATTGACCTACTGTCAGATAGTAGTAATCAAGTACACAGACCAAGCGGTCTCTGCGGCTTACATGCGCACATAATTGTGTTAATGCGACACAAAGTCAGCTAGCAGCAACTGGCATTACAAGGCGGTACATAAACACGAACGGATTCGGAATTCAAATCGGCCGAGGCATAAAAATAACTTTTTAAGAATTGTACAGAAGTTGCGAAAAGGCAAACATTTCTAAGAGAACCTGGGGAAAATTTGCGACATTTGTTGGGCTTCTTAGCGAAACTGTCGTTCGATCCCAGAACATTTCACGTGACTTAAAGCCTTCGGTGGCGTGACAGGGAAATGAACCCGATCTAAGAGGCGGAAGTGAGACGGGAATACCGTTACAAAAACGGCGCGGCATGTTTACCTGGAACAAAAGGAATTCTGATCTTATTATTGTGTTATAAACTAACCTTTTTACGTATCATGATAAAACATTACGTCCACTGTTTTACTAATACGATATCCATATTTACAGTCAATTTTTGATTGTATGACTAAATATATAGTACCTGGAGGACCGAGCTTTGCTGCGTTTGTTTTATTTTTTGGTAAATAGTGTAATTTTGAAATTACATTTAGATACAAATTACTGAGTAATGAAACATGCATAATATTTTTCGATCTTACCGACGTAATAATAAGAAAATATGAACTGGTGTTTTTCACAAAAGAACGAACTTTAAAAAAAAGGGAAAAGAGAACAAAAATTTGGATGGACAAAAAATAAAAAAAAGGAAGCAATGATCTGGAATCGAAAAAAAAGTAAAAAAAAAAAGTATTTAAATGATCGTGACACGAATCACGGCCTTCTGTTTCGGGGCCGCCCGATTACCGACCGAGCTATTATAAAATTTTTTTTCGGTGAAACTTACCGATTTTTCGATCGATTTTTCGCCCCCGAATCTACGCACATACTAAATTTCATGAAAATCGCTGGAGCCGTTTCCGAGAATATACATATATATATATATATAGACACAGGAATTGCTCGTTTAATGACAATATATATAAATAGATATTTATATGGCATGGTAAAATGACTTTATGATTTAGTGAGTCTTTTTCTTTTTTGAATCGAAATGTATCGAAATGTTTTAAATTTTCAACCCGTTTTAAAACTATACGGTGGTTTCAACTTACAAACTTGTCGGGATATTCTCATTAATGCAAGTAGCAGTTAAATTTTTGCTATTTCTGAGTTACAGTAAACTCAGTTGCTGCTGCCTGAGTCGTTGAAAATCTAATAACCTGCAAATGTGACATACGAGTGCAGGCCGGACATTAGCGTTTGGATTTGGCGTCGCTTTTCCCGCGCTTTCAGGTTCTCACATTAAAAAAAAAATGCGGGAAACCGCATGGTCGTCGAGGTGTTAACGCGCTGGGTGGTCGGTGGCGACTCGCGGCGCAGGTAGGAAATGTTAACGGGAATATTAGTGTAACTGTTTAACGTGTTTAACACGTCCAACATTTTCGAAGAGAACACTGCCCTGTTAGCGTGTGGGTGTGTGTTCATTCATTCGGATGATCGTACACAACTTTTAATAACTCTTTGTCACCATCCTTGACGTGAAATGTTTGTTATTTTATAATTTAAGGCGCAAAAAGTCTACTGTTTCGTTTAGCATGTGGGTTTGCATAAGGTACATTTAGATTTATCACTACCTTCCTGAGAAAAGGAGATTTCGTCATTACTTGGAGCATATATATTTTGTATAAGTATCATCGCAATTTTCTGGCAAGATTGTACATTACCTGGGGGTGGCTTTCGTAAAGCCTACAGCATAGTATCGAAACAATTTGAATATGTGAAGACAAAAGTGATAGCTTTTACTGAGCTGGTGGTTTCACTACGAACAGTGCTTACCGTCGGTGATATAGTTGTAAAGTATTGCACATTTAAATAAATATACGTTATGAACGATGTCGTCTTTAAAAATTAAAACAGAGTTTTTCCATTCATTCGTAATCACAAAGGAGTAAGTCACTAATTCCAAAGGATAATTGTAATTGTGACACAATAAACGATCATTTATACTGTATGTTGAATATGTAATTAAAATTGAGGTGGAGACAAACAATAATCTAATCCATTACCAAAAAAATTTACAACAATGGTAAGACTTATCAGACATTTAAAGTTTCTTTCCTTGCTTTACCAGTTTGACAGATTGCTTATATGCATAAAATCCTACTGTAATATTTAGATAAGATTAAATTTAATATCAAAGGAGAAGCCGTTGGAAAGTCCAAATTGAGGAGATTTGGCGTCATCATTAGTCAAATGCGATTTCGCTGATCGCAGAATCATGATCATTTGCTCGCGTGACACACGCTACTTGTTTTGCGTTCAGTGCAAGGTCCAGAGCAGCAGTTCCCAAACTTTCGTGGGTATGCATTGTCCAACACACCTCATTCCTAGTACGGAACAAAATTAATAGTAGTAGTAGTAAAAAATTAATTATTAATTATCACGGAAATCCTATTGACTATTCTGTAACGCACTTTAGGAATTGCTGGTCTAATAGACGTGCCGTGATCGGTAATAGTTTTTTAATCACGCAGTAGGCATTTGATTACCAATCCTAAGACTTCCAGTCGGAAGGTAGGTCGTTTCTATGATGCTCGGGAGCTTCATAATGCATTTGTCCATTATTAACACTACTTTTAAGGCACCATTCATGGTGGTAGGGCCACGCAGCAGCCTCGACTGTTGCACAAATGGGCAGGCTCGTCCGGGTAAGTACCACGACCTCATAGAAGACCGGCGTAAAGTGGAAGTATAATACTTTCCCGTTTCGTCTGGTGAGTAAGGTGGCCGGAGCCCAATTTCCAAAAAGTTGTCAAAGCATCTGGAACCCTTGGGTGTAGCAGATGTCCATGGGCGGCGCTATTCACTTAACATCAGGTGAACAGTCAGCTCGCTTGGCAACTTCTCGTATAAAAAAACCATGCTTCGATAAAATACTCTGTGCCCTTGCACAGAGTATTTTATCATATTTATATGCTGAAAAACTTTTAACACAAAGTAACAAATATAGGATGGACCACAAGCATAATTATTTGACATACACGCATATGAACAGTTCAGGACAGACGGGAGTTAAATGCGAAGGCGATTCGAGATAATTCAGGCCGTTAACATTTAGGCCCGGTGCACGTCTACCACGGAATATTTCCGTAATGGGACCGCACGTCTACATTGGCCCGTGTCACGCGCTTGGCGTGTTAGTCCCCGCCGCACGGCACCACGTAGCACGCGAACGTTTTATTGGGCACGACACGACATCACGCTGGATTCCTAGGAGTGTTGCAAGTTTAATTCCATACCATTTTGTTGTGCCATAAAGGCGTAGTCGAAATTTCTCTCTTCAATTTGGAATCTTTCGAGCTCTTGTGGACGTTAACTCTACCAGCAGTTCACTAAGTTTAGATCAGTCTTATGAAGGGCAAGCGAGAAAGTTAAGCGGTCTTCGTTTGTACATATATCTTTAGTTTTTTGAAAACAATGTTACCACAAATCAGTGGTATAGTTGGCGCTTTGGTTACTGTTGATTGCTTATCAATGTTAACATTGTTGTATACATTGTGGCGTCCATGCTTAGGCATCAATGTATTGATCCACATGAATAGCTCTTTCAGTTGATTTTATTTATTATAATTATCTTTCGTTATCGTCCGTCACCTGAATCATTTGGTGGTTTAAGGAACTATTTTCTTCTATAATAATTCTTGTTGTCTTTTGTTATAGTGGCTATAATTTTTATGAGAATAAGGCTAAAGTATCCATACCCTCCATAAGCGAAGTGTTCACATAATTTAAATCTGAAGGGTTTGCGTACCAGCGGAATTTGCGATAACTAAAATTCCCGAATCGCTTTCAACACATAAGTAATCGCCTCTGATGAGTGAATCGTGAAGTAATCAGACTATGGTTTGTACAGATAAGGTTTTAGCTCAGCGGTAGGACATAGTACACAGGCTTTACTGTAATAACATACTTCGACGGAGTCAAAGATGTATCGCTCACTCTCGAGTGATTACGTCATAACATAAACACGAACTTACAGCAAAGTTAATCTAACTTAGCTGAACACGCAACTGCCAAAGTTTTAAGTGGCTTTGAGCCCCGAATTACTGGAACACTGCAGTCTAGCACGCAGATGTGCGTGATCCGTCCGCCTAATGCGGCCGCTTCCCGCACGCGAGACCCCACTAACGAGCATCAAGTGCGTGACACGCGCGCGTTACGCGGCCCTGTCCCGCACGCGAGAACCAACCAGTCCGCCGGCGTCACGCGACGTTCTAGAAAGCGTGTTGACGCCGCGCGTGATTAACGGTGATATTTGTTTATAGGACGTCTCGATTTTCTCACGATTACGATTCTCTTTTATTAAGTGTTAGCATTTCCTCAAATGTGTGATGATAAGGTATTAGATGACTGGAAGAATATAATAATCTATTGATTTATAAGACTTGATGACGACCGTGATGGGGCTCAAGCAGCCTCTAGTAGGAAACTAATCAAACTGTTCCTAGTTGAAAAAGGCTATTAAAATTTGTATACATGGATGGCTAAGATATAAATCATATAATGGTCTTAATACACAATGTTTAAATGCCCTGCGCTTGCAGTCCCCTACTAATGAATACTTACTGATTGAAAAATCACCGTCTTAGATCACATCAGTTCACTATAGGACACTTCTGCGACTTAAGTTTATTGAAACAAAGATGACCTTAACTAAAAAAAATTCTCTATCAAATGACAATTAATGCAAATAATGTTGAACAAAGTCTTTTATGAAATTAAATTGGACAGGCATTGTGCACTAATAACTCCTGCTTGTGTGTTTTCCAAGATACAAGTAGCGTGTAGAAAATTTACGGTTAATTCCAAAACTTAGCCAGTGCAGCTACCAATAGCTACCAACGCACCTGGTTATAAGCAATGAAATTCTCAAGTAGTGCATCAGCTCAGTAAAAGCCTACTCAAACTTGCCTTGAAGACAGACACTGTTTCCTAGCTTGGTTGCCGCCCGCGCCTTTTGCTGAATAAACATTGCCTAACATTCTACCATCAATCCCAGTGCACCCATTGATGATATCTTAGGACAGTAACAAAAGGGTGTCGAGGTAACTTGTTACGCGGACGACACCCTTGTCACCGCCCGCGGCGCCAATTTTCTCCGGGCTGCTACTCTCACCACATCGGGTGTGGCGCAAATGGTGGGGCGCATTCGGCGACTGGGACTAGAGGTGGCGCTCACTAAATCCGAAGCCCTGTATTTCTTTGGGCCTCGGAATGCGCCACCTGCGGACGCCCACATAATAGTGTGCGGCGTCCGTGTCGACATTAAGCCGACAATGAGATACTCGGCCTAGTCCTAGATCGCCGATGGAATTTCGTTCCCCACTTCGAGCGCCTAGCTCCAAAAGTGGCGAGAGCGGCGGCAGCTCTCGGAAGGCTGCTCCCGAACGTTGGCGGCCCCAACGATTCCTGTCGCCGCCTATACACCGGGGTCGTGAGGTCTATGGCCCTGTACGGTGCTCCCGTTTGGGCCGACACCCTGAATCGCCGGACCATGGCGCTTCTGCGCAAACCACAGAGGGTGTTGGCTATACGGGCCATACGGGGCTACCGGACGATTTCCGGTGAGGCGGCGTGCGCGTTGGTTGGTTCCATTCCCTGGGACCTAGAAGCCAGTATCCTCGCGTCATTGCACTTCTGGCGCGAGGAAGCAATAGCCCGGGGTCACCTGCCAGCCTTAGAGGAGTTGAAGGGGTGTAGACTAAGGCTGCGCTCACTCGCCATCGCCGAGTGGAAGCAGAGGCTGGAGCACCCCAGTGCCGGCCTAAGAACCATTGAGGCCATACGTCCGGTACTCAGTCGGTGGCTGGACAGGCGTCACGGCACCCTTACCTACCGGGCGACGCAGGTTCTCTCGGGACATGGCTGTTTTGGGAGGTACCTGTGCCGCTTGGCGGGGAGGAGCCAACAGCGGTTTGTCACCACTGCGACGTATGTGCCGAGGAGACGGCCCAACACGCACTGGAGGAGTGCCCAGCCTGGCGGGAGCAGCGCCGAGAGCTGATGGCTATCGTGGGGCACGATCTCTCGCTACCTGCCGTGGTCCGCGCTATGGTGGACAGCGAGAGGTCGTGGGGTGCCGTCCTTGCATTCTGCGAGAACATAATCACCCGGAAGGAGGCCGCAGAGAGAGAAAGGGAGGCAACTGCCACCCTGGAAATCCGCCGCCGGAGACCAGGGCGCAGGAGGCTGGCCTACGCGCGCAACCTTCCCCCCTGATAGCAAGCCCCGGGGCGGCAGATGTGGGACTAACTGCTGCCCCGCGGAGGGCTTGAGAGGGGTGCCGTGTTCATTGCACCGACACGGCACCATTTGGCTGGACCGGGTGTCCCTAACACCCGGGGAGAGGAGGCCTGAGAAGGCCACAGTCGCGTCGGGGTTCGCGGAAGATTGCGTTCTCGTGTTCCCGTGTCCCCGGCAAAGCGATAGCGCAGGTGCAACGTGGGTTTTTTAGTGGGTACGTGTAACTCCCACATACCCCTGCTGCCTACCCACAAGGCAGCGGGGGATCCATGAAGGATTTTTCCCAAGTTAAAAAAAAAAAAAAAAAAAAAAAGGACAGTAACAAAAACCTCTCGTTACCTCCTAACCCATATAGACATAATTTTTATATATAAAGTGAATGAATAAATAAGAATCAAACTCACTTCCACAAAAACACAAAAATACTTTTCATAATATAAACACAAGAATAATTAATATCAACTACACTACTTTCTCTCACTAACTTTCCGGTTAGCTGATAGAAAATGCCATATGGCCATATATAGGCTTTAGGTTGGCATTATGGCATAACATATAAAAATTAATGAAAAGACAAGATTTGCTCAATAGTTATTTTTGTTATAAGTTAAAATGCTTATACAAATAATAAATAACCTTTTACATGACGATGATAAAAAACACTAATCATTCGCATTCCAAAGTTTAACTCATTATGTGTCGGACATAAGTCACTGATAAAACCATTTATTTACGAACATTTTCTAGTTTGTATATACGACCCGTTATCAGAAGTATGTGCAAAAATTTATAAACAATCTTATTATAATTTTCTTATCTGCGTTCAATTGCGGAGTTGGCTCGCGAAAATTGCTTCATTAGTGTAAACAAAACGTAACATATTTTTTTATGCGAAAAGTTGTCAAACGAGCAGACGGTTCACCTGATGTTTAGTGAATACCGCCGCCATTGGACATCTGCCACACCCGAGGATTACAGATGCGTTGCCAACCTTTTGAAAATTGGGCTCCGGCTACCTCACTCACCAGACGAAACGCGAAAGTATTTGTCACACTTCCACTGTACGCTGGTTTCTGGGAGGTCGTGGTACTTACCCCGACCGGCCTGCCCATTCGTGCAACAGCCGAGGCTGCTGCGTGGCCCTACCACCGTAACATTTTATGTCAATGTGATATGTTTTTAGTCTTTTGTGATATGTGTGAGTCTCTCAGTGTGTCAGTATGAAATGAGTGACATGAGAGTCACTGTTTAAAATCTTTTCTGGTGTTGCATTAAACGTCAATTTCGAACAGCAAATAACTAGCGCCACGTAGAACGTGAAAATATATCATTTCTCTCGGACAATAGAACACAATCGAGGAGGCTATTTCCAATTTTGACATTATTTATTCTTTATTTATTTCATTATCATATAAGTATACAACGATGATCGTACTATCAGAGTCGATAAGCAGCCAACCCTTACAAATACCGTTCTCGACCTCTCGGAAAAGAGCAGCCTTCTGAGTTTCTTTCACCGGTTCTTCTCAGATCAGTGGCTCTCTTTCCGATCGGATAGTAGATTTTTCTTGACAATCAATAAATAAGTGAAATGATTCTATATTGAATAAAGATATTGACTTTGAATTCCTCTGGGGGGTCCCTAATTCGTATCGGTCCGAAAACATCTACTTAATGCCGCTGACGATGTAACGTCACTTCGCACGGATGACCTCAGAATGCGGATCGTGTTTCAACGGGTCTATTTATAATATCACTGGCGTGTCATGAGCGTAGGGTCAGAGTGGCCGCTGACTCGTATGCGATGACCCAACCGCTGATAGCGTGTGATAAGCGGAGCGCTGGGGCTACGCCCGGGTCAGCCGGGAATATTCCACCGGTTACGGTTAGGAAATACGCGATGGATTACTTTCAATGTTGTTTTTTTATAATTTTTTTTTCTTCAGTGAAACGATTCAAACGTACTTTCCTTATCGGCTCGTCATTGATAAGGAGTATCAAGTCGCAGAAACGCTCGCTTAACAGTAATTTATTCGACTGTGAATATAAAATGTCTGTTTATTTGTCACTCTTTTATTATGTTTGTTAATGCCACATATTTTTCAGATCTTATTGCGTTTAAATTTTTCTCTTCGAGCTGCCGACATTTCGTGCAACTTACAGCCTCCATGGCCACGAGTCGTACTGCGTTTGAAATAACGTTAACTAGTTTCATTTAACTAAACGCTTTGTTTACGGCTGCATTGTTCGAGCGGTGATTATTGCCGTGACACGTTTCATCGTAAACAATAACCATGTTATAATGTGGTAACGTTTCTAGTACTACCACCGACGGCTAAATACAAAGCAACTTATAATACTGGGCTAGCGCGCTTACCATCCACGGTTGCATCGCATCTTACTATCTTACTTATGGCAGTCAAGGGCTAGTCAGTTCCACATATAAAAAAAAAATTATTAGCTGAAGTCGATTTAGATTTACAATTTACCATCTATTGAAACGGCACAGGAACACTTAACAGTCCACAATAATGAGAGAGAAAAAATTAAATACTCACCAAGGCCCGTGATCGGCAGTAATGCGAGCCGTTTAACTTAAAAACCGCTTCTTCAGCCCAGTTATTCTTAAAACTTTGACAGCTTAATTCAACTTCCTTCCTTTCTTAAAACTTTAACTTGAAATTCTTTGCACTTACAATAATCCACAACTAAGCATATTTTGAGTAATATAAATGAATTTATCTAATGAAAACAAACGCTGTGTTTTTGCAACGTGGCTATGACAGCAAAATGTCAAACGTGCTACTCAGGTTCAAGTTTGCGATAAGTTAGACGAGATACGGTTACGTAAAAACTTACGTAGGTTGTGATAAATCCTTAGTACAGTCCAACTAGATCGCAATTGAACAGAGAACTGTAAGGTTAATAGTTCGCTATAGATAAATTCTGATCTTTGCAACGTGAAGATTTTTTTGGCTCATTAATACTTTTTGTCTATGTACGAATGTTGAATAGACACCGAATTTAACGTAAGGGAGGAAACTGCAGCAAGAGACATGAGAAGGAGAGCTTTAGGCCCTTAATGGGGAAGGTTATTCCTTTTCTGGTTCGTCATTTTTCGTTTTCGTCATTCTCATTCGAGGCGTTTGTGTATAGCTACAAAACCTCACACAACAGCTTCTAATGGACGAATTACCGGCTCTGCCCTCATAGACTGGAAACTGTCTAGTGGTGGAGGGGCTTAGTAGCCGTGTCTTGGCCGCCATGGTGAAGATAAAAGGAATGAAAATGAATGATAAAAGGAATGTTCAAAGAGCTGTTGGTTCAAAGGAGCTCTTTGAACCCGCTCTGAATTCGTGCAAGATGGTAGAGGATAAGGTACGCGGATGGTGGAGGTGGTCGAGGGTAATAGACGCGGAGCCACTCTTGCTTAGTTTGAGCCTGGACGACGTAATGTACAATCATGTAATAAATACGTACACTTTTGTGTTTCACCTGGAGTGCGTGGAAACTAAAGACAAACACTCAATGGTTGGCACAACGACAACAACATTTGTTACTGTCGAAACTCCGATACCATGAGGTGAGTTCATGTTCCCATTCTTCTCTATGACTGACACTATTGTTTTTAGTCCGTAGACTATTAAACCTTCGTACGCAGAGCTCGTGTGATGGCCGGATTCCACGAACACAACATCGTGGTACGGAGCCCTTTCAAATAAACAGATCGCGTGCACCCAGACGCTCGTTTATCTATAACATAAACAACTCCAACCGGAGCTGGCGCTCGTAAACAGACCCCGTGATCCGGCACTCTATCGAGGCGGCGATTAAGCGAATGCGGCAATGATTGCGTAATGCCGAGTTAATGAAAACTCACGCCCGCTCGTGACAGCGGAACGTGACCGGGTGGAGTTGCGTAGCTGTCCATAATTGTACTCATCAGGAGTACCACATACTCTTGCCTTTCGAACGGGGAGTGCGTGTGATAGGTCTTCGACTGTGGTAGGAGCGGGCAGTAGTCTCAGTTGCTTGAATGGGTAGGCATAAGGACCACGAACTCATAGAAGACCTTGAGATGGAAGTTTTTTGTGATTCTGCGTTCCGTCCGGTGAGTGAGTAATCATTGCCCACTTTTTTAGTTTTCAACGCATCTTGGACCAGTTGACGCGTCCATGGGCGTTGTTAATCTTAACACCAGGTCATCCGCCAGCCCGCTTGCCATCTACTGACATAAAAATTAAACCACCAAGGCTATCGGCACAAACTCACAGAGACCAGGAATATCAATAGACGGCGGGAAGATCTCACCAACGTTACGAGCGGCCGCTCACTGGTTAGACAGTTGTGCAACCAGCCAGGAGCCGATCCAGCGTACTCATCAGCCAAGGTCGCGGCCGCCGGCGCCGGCAGCAGATAACGCCTCGAGTCACGTCACTAACAACTGCGCAATAACGCGCCGATAAAGCGAAGCGGCCGCACACAAACATCGAACGCCCGACGCCGCGCCGATTACGAAGTAGGTATTGAGTATGCACTAACTCCACATATGATTACGTTGAAAGTAAAACTAACGTTTATGTCAAACAATTATGCAAAGGATTTTTCTAAAGGGAATTTGAAAGCACAGTCCACCAAACGGCTCATATGAGAATCGGCAGACTTAAAGTAAAGTTAAATAACAGCCTATACATGTCCCACCGCTGGGTAAAGACACGCTCCACTGTATATTGGCGAACTTCACATGTTTTCGAAATATTTTTTGATAATATTTCCAAAATAAGCAGGCTTCCTCAAAATATTTTTCTTCACCGCTGAGCATGTGATAAGTCAGCACATAAAATTAACTATTTGATTGGTGCTACCACTGGGATTTGAACTAAGATTGCTCGAATATATTGAATTAAAAGCCTGCCTAAAGATCTCACCACACCATAGGTTGACTGGCAGAGAATGCAAAATGCCTATTAAGTCCGCCTATTGTGTTCCGTATTAAAGGAAATGCAATAAAGACTAAATAAATTAATTAATTAAAACTAACGCCCGTACACTGAGCTATCACGGCTCTCGGTTCACGGCTTATCTTTGGAATATGTTTTTCCTAATTATATAGGATCTATGCAAATTTTCTTGCACGGCGGAACATGTGGTACATACATATACAGCGTGTCGTTACCATCGCGACAATAAATGAACACGCATATAGGGGATAACTTTTTAAAGTTGTATTAAACATTTAAATTCTTTAAACATCAATATTTACAGAGTTATCAAATTTTTCAAAACAAAGAATTTTAGAACACCCTTACCTATAAAAGCGTAACGTAAAGTTCATTTGTAAAGGTCACAAAGCATATGAATGGGTTGAATGAATTTAAAAGAGACAAAACATACTGTTAGAAGGAGAGGCTTGTAATAAATACGACGCTGTGACGCGAGTTGTATAGGATGTTACAAATTTTGTTTCTTTTTTACTTAATTACTTTGTTTGAAAAATATTTTTTTTTATTTATGGATTTTGTTTAACGTTAATATTTTTTATGATTATTGGCAAGTAGCGTTAGACGTGTGTTCATTTATTGTCGCGATGGTAACGACACGCTGTATATATATAGTTATAAACCATATGCTCGCAACGTTCCTGAGCAAACGGTGTCCTAACTGCCTGAGATTTGGCAGGTGAAACTCCTTGTCAAAAATAACAACTATCATATGATGTGATTGTGGTCACACACAAGTAATTTGAGGCATTTTTGCCCAAAATCCACTTGGAAAACATACTCATTAATAGTTAGATAGTTTGGCGCATTAAACCGCTTGCATAAAATGAGAAATAATTACATTTATTTTGTCTTTTTTCTTATAATTTGTACAAAATTTTCTTGTCACATAATATGGCTTATGTCTATTTATTGTTCCCTACTGTAAATTCTTATATATGTGTGTATCTCTGTAAGGAGGTTGCCTGGAAGAAATCTCTAAAAAGCGATAAGGGCGCGACTGTACCTTTATGAAACTTATGTTACTCTTTTGTTATTCTTTGTCTGGTATTAAATAAATCATACGCGTATGTCATCCATTCATTCATGGTTCTATGGTTTAGACTAACGGGGTACTTTCGAAGTAAATCTTAAGCGTTGTTATGGCTCTAAACAAGTAGCCTTCTGTCCTACGGAGACAGTAATAGTCATGTAATGATTCACAGCCATCTGCAGTCTTACGAGCTATAAACTCAGACGAGCACACAATCGATTCGGCTGGAAACGTGCCAGCCGCTATCAGACGAACGTTAGCAAGCTTGGTTATACCGAGCCGGCGTGGGGTATTTCCTAATTGGTATTCCTTACGATCGATTTGAACGAGGAAATCAATATATATATACATATACGGTATAACTAAGTCGGTGACGTCGGTACGGTCTTTCCCAAAAAGAGTAACTAAGCGTTACTCTCTGGGAAGTTTGTTGCTGTTTTTTTTAACTAAAAACCGACCTAACGAAATAATTTCTTTACTCTCTGAAATTGTACGCATTTTTTGCGTAGAGCGGAATAAATACATCCTTACTTCTTTACTTTAATATTATAAACGTCAAAGTTTGTATGTAAGGATGGATGTTTGTTACTCTTTCACGCAAATACTATTGAATGGATTTTAATGAAACTTTACAATAATATAGCTTATACATCAGAATAACACATAGGCTATTTTTTAAGGTGATGTTAAGTGTCAGTCAACTAAGTAAGAAAAAATTCAGCCGTTTGCGAGATATTCTAATGTATAATAAAAAACTCATTGTTAATTCCCGTTGAGCGCTCGGGCGAAGTCGCATTTAACGGCTAGTTAAAAAATAATTGATGGTAGCCCTGTGCCTTTTATTGACGTTTAGGACAGAACAACTCGTTCTGTCCTAAAATGTCGGAAATAAAAAAAATCTGTAAAATAGTTTTATTCAATTCTGCAAACTGAGAAGTTCTTAGAACTACACTTATCTGAAGGAAGCAATGTAATCTTTGTTAAAGCACTAGGCAATTTGCATCATTACTTTTTTTGTACAAAAAAAAAAGTAATGATACATAAAGTAATGATACAATTTTTGTTGCATTACGATTTTCTTATTTCTTATGATTACAGGGTACTGAGGCAAAAAAATTAAGTATTTCTGATTACATTAACTTTTTGAACGCAAAATTTAAAATATTAACACGTGGGTTTTGCATAATTTTTAAACGAAGTTAAATATATGCATATATACACATACATTCTATGCAATGCTCCGTAAGAATCTCTTTCCGTATATCGAGTACGAATGGTGGAAATCACTGGGGTTCAAACCTACGACCGCAGACCAAAAGTCGGCGTCATCAGCCCCTGCGCAATGTAACTGAAAACTTGATATAAATATCGGACCGCCTAATTGCATTGAATCCTATGACGCTGAAAGGCTGTCACCAATTAGGGATGAGTCGACATTCTTTGGCTGTCGACACTTGCAAATTAGATGTGGACTTTGGATTAAAAAAATAGTAAAAGAAAGTTTGTGTGTTAAAGGCTACTATAATATTAATGATTATTTAAATGATAACACACTCTGGTAATGAACTGATCGCTCCAGGCTCTTTCAATCAGAGTCCTTATATTGTATTTTTAATGAATTCATGTCAAACTGCTTATATTACAAAAAAAAAAAATTAAAAAAAAAAGCCCGCTGAATTTCTTTCGCCGGTTCTTCTCAGTACAGTGGCTTTCTTTTCCGAACCGGTGGTAGTGTTTTGACTATCAATAAGCGAGTGTAATGCTCCTATGTTGAATAAATACATTGATTTTTATTTTGGATGAGTTTTTCCTGCGTTTATTACATGTTACGTTTATTATTGTTACGTTTATGACAGCAAAAGTCAGAGCATAATTCTGCGCGATTTATTAGTACCGATGGAGAATTTCACGCAATACCTGTGTAATTTAGTAATTGTAACGGTAGGTATGTAGTGTCATCAGCCCACATAAGTGCCATTGCGAGCTTCACTAATCATTCTAAAAATAAGCGATAATCTCATTAACTAACGACTATTCGACGAATGTTAACCTATGAGCTGTCATTATTAGTCTCAGTTGTCGTAGTGACAGGGAGTTAACTCAATATGATGTCTGGTTTAGTATTTTTATGCAGTACGGTTTTGTTTCATTTAATAAATTAAGCTTGTTTGTTTCCGTACATTGGGCAAAGGTTAAAGCCCCTCGAAGCCTTGAACCCGCATAGAAAGCAGGCTCGGATTGCGTGACGGGCTCGTGGAATAAGACGTAATTGACTTACATGGATCGAGTGACGTCAGTGACTAAATGAAACCGTGGCGGCAATGGCGTAATTTACAGGCCGAGCACTCTCAGACCGATCGCTCGCTCTGTGTACAAATAGAGAAGGGAAAGCAAGAAAAAATATTTACGAAAGAGATAGTTGAGTTCCTTTTTGGTTCTTCTCTGGCCAGGCATAATTAAGCCAACTGGTGGTAGTTTTTTATGTCTATAAGAGCTTTAAAGTAATGCAGAATTTTGTTTATAATGTGTAGATAATTATAATAAAAATGTGAATGTAAGAATAAACCTTAATAGCAGAGATTAGCTCTTCAAATGCAAAATTTAAATTAACAGATACTAATATTTAGGCTTTGATTTTGTATCTATGTAATTCCCTAAATACCTTAACAAGATCAAATTAGTAAAACAGGAAATAAACCGAGATAAATAAATTCTATGGTTATTCATTTTGTAGCTACAAATATGACCTGTATATGATGTGTCATTTTAATTTTTATATAATATCTTATAAATAGCGTAAACAGCTGAAATTTCCACAGATGATGTATTTCTGTTGGCACAATAAACACAAATAATAAAAAACAGAAAAAAAAGATACTTATGTGGGCTCCTATACAAAAGACATGATTTTTTTTGCCGTTTTTGTAGTTAATGGTACGGAACCCTTCATGTGTGTTTGCGATTCGCACTTGGCCTGTTTTTAAGATGTGTATATTAATTAATTTTATTCCCATTTTATATTGCAATTTAAATTGTTGCACGTACCACGATCTCTCCTCACGCCCTGGGTTGACTGGTAGAGAATGCGAATAGGCAATAAGTACGCCCTTTGAAACCCCTTTTTTAAAGTCGTTTTCTATAAAGATAATATAAATAAATATAACATAAAATTTGGCTATACAGAAATGCAATTGACGTCTGACTAGGATGAATACATTCACTGGAAGACATCCAATGAACATCACCAGTATTTGTGGAGACAAAGTTGCATGAAGAACTTCCTATCAGAATTGAGGGCAAGTCTACATTTTAATAGCCGTGATAGCACACTGTCCGTGCGTTCGCTTTTAATTCAATATAGTCGTGCAAACTTAGTTCGATCCC